CTCTCAGTGAGGAGTTGAGCACTTAACTACTTTAGGCCCCTTTGAAAATCCCAATCTCCATGCTGAAGCTCAACAAACTCAGGCTTCAAAGGACTAAAAGCTAGAAAATGAACTAATTATTCACGTCTGTTCACACCAACGTGAGGGCCCTTGTCAACTTATTCTTTGTTTCCCCTATCACCAAAAGAAGACAGTCTAAATTATTTCTACGCATCTCCGTCAATGAAAGTTAAGCAAGCAAATAACATAATGGCTCTACTGCAGCATGGTTGGATTTATAGATACAAAGACCAAAACAAATGGGATGGTATGCATCTACACACTGTTTGCACAATCTCATTTTCAAAGTAGGATGATCAAACACATGATGAGCCCAAAACTAGCTGGAAATGGTTGCATCTACTTGGGAAAAAAAAGTCCTCCTTCCAGCCCTTTGCTTCTTTCTGAGTGTTAGTTTGGTTTGGAAGTTTTTGTAGTCGAGTAGCAACCCATTTTTTGATTACTTTTGCCTTTGCACATCCAGGTTATAGATAAAGAAGATATCCTGAGCTTAATCTTGATCATTTTCTTCAAAGTAACCTGAACTTTCCCTTTAAGCAAGTCTTTATTACAGAAGATTTGTCACATTTGATAGTGGTACAGAAACAAAGAAAAATCCTTTCCCCAGCTCAAAAGAGCTTCATCCAAATACTTTATTCTCAAGCTTTGGGAATGTGGGTTGTAACAGAAAGATACAACAAGTATTCAAATAGAAAAGAAAGAACAAGGGCCTACTTCAGGTTCCACCACCAGCCAGTTCTTCAGCTGCCAGTTGTAGCAAATTGCCTCATCTAAAGCTGTCCCCTCTCAGACTGCCAAGGTACTGTTTATATAGAGTGCTCTGATTTAACTCTGAGCTTCCGGTTGTGCCTTCAGCCACTTGGCCACCTCATTAAGCCCAGCTTCAACCTGCAGGACAGATGAGCAATTAGTTAATTCATTTGGTACCAGTCCTAAGATAAGGCCTGTGCACCTGCCCAATGTTCTCCTGATGGCAAGTTAAACTTCCTTCCCTTATGCATGGCTCTGGCAGCTAAATGCAAATTAATGATCATGCCACTGAAAAACTGTGGTTTAACACAGGTATTCTGCCGAATTTGCCGCTCTCAGACTCCAGTATATCCAAGAGTGTATAAGATTGCTGAACATGTAGTCCCTGCTCCTTTTGCCTACTGGAAGCCCTACTTTGAAATATGTTCACCTTAATGTGTCTAAATGTTGTATAAAGGCGTATATGCAAGTAAGACCAAATCCGAGCATCCAAAAGATTTCAGGAAGGCCCATATTTGACACTAGGTTTTGAAAGTCTTCCAGTAGCTAATTTCTTACTCTTTGTAGTGTGCTCACTGACAGTCTCTTCCCACCCTCCTTTTAGTGTGCTGTCGTCCAGTGTTTTGGCTGGTCTGTGATCAGTTTTGAGCTCTTCCTGATCGGAATTATGTCTTGGTCTATATTCTCTAATGCACTGTGTTCATCTGTGGTTTAACACAAATGCTTAGCAATAATAAGTGCATTGAGACAACTGAGAAAGGTGGAGTAAGATTGTAAGATTTTTGGGACAGGGCTGACTACTATTTTGTGTCTGTACAGTTCCTTGCACAATGGAGCACCATTCTTGGTTGGTCCTTAGTCACCACTGTAATAGACATGATTAATAAGTCAAAAGACCACAAGTTCTATTGTGGGGCCAATTCTGATCAGTCTCTGTGGATAGTGCTGGAGGTGATTCTTCCCAATCACTGGATGAAATTGGGGAAATTATAGTGGCCTCATAGGAGCTTTTGCAGCATGATTGACAAGTGATAGCAGAGCAAGAGAGATCCATTTGTAGACTAGCATATGTATGATGACATCTGTGTGTGTATACCAATAGAGGCTTGTGGTATCTGGAACTATGGTAGAAATGCCAAGAGTGAGACCTAGGTCTAGGCCTTTCTTAACATTAGGAAGAGAGTGAAGAACTGGGCCTTATTCAGTAAAAGAAAATAATGTATAGCTTGTTTGTATTAATTTCCCTGTTGTATGTTTGCATGTCACTACTCCAGGAAATGATGGATATAGTAAAGGCAATTTATGATATGATGGGCAAGTACACATATCCTGTTCTCAAGCAAGATGCTCCAAGACTGCACGTAGAAGTTTTCTTCCAGGTACTTAGTTGATTTCTAATGCATTTCTCTTGACACTTAGCTACCAGCAAAACCTGAGCAATGACACTCAATCATTCCGAATTTCAGTGGTAGCCTCTGTCTAAGTTTGGAAGATACTGTAGTTTTATCCAAGTTACAAAATGACATGCTACATATGCAAAAATATATCAGTATTATGAGAACTAAAAATGTTTCTTTGTTTTGTTTTGCAGAAAATGGATAAAAACAAAGATGGTGTTGTAACTCTAGATGAGTTTATTGAATCATGTCAGGAGGTAAGGACAATCTTATTGCTGCCATGAAAGCAGAGAAGATGGTTTCATGCCACAATGTTCATATCTGCTCTGGATTTCAATCCACTCCAAGTCTCTGGGTGCTCAGGATCCCAGGTTTCATTCTATTAGATGTTCAAGCCAGCTGCAAAATTCAGCTCTGGGTTCTGATCTGTGAATCTCCCTAAAGATCCGAGTGCTTGCTACCTACATGGATTTGGTGCAAACTGATCACTGAATACGGTCTGTTCATTTCCAGTGCTGATGTCCAGTGCTTTTATTTTCCCAAGTGAATTCCTGATTCCTTGTTACTGTACACAACTCTTAGGGAAGCTCCTGGAGCCTTTAACTTATGTAAAGAGACATTGTCAGCCTCTCAAAAACAGCAAAATATGCAAGTGGTTTTTTTTCTGGATAACATTAACAGGGACTACCACAATGTCTGAGCTGTCCAAAAGCATAAAATCTGCCTAGGAACCTTTCGGTTACAACACTGACTCATAAAACTCATTGATGTTCAAGGTCAAATGTTAAAAACAAGTACTGTAATCAAAATGATGATTTTTCCAAAATGAACATCTTTGACAAATTCCATAAATTAAACTGGCTGTGGTAATTATTTACTGTTATTTTAGTGCCTACACAAAGACCAGCATCTGCATGAACATGCAATTAGCCCAACATCTATTTTCTTGGACTCCAATTAACTGTGTGACTGTTTGGTCAGGGATGTTTCCAGTATTTAAGCAGTGCAATAAAAGCCTGTGCCTTTTATAGAGTTTAAAATGGCACTAATTATCATTTACCAAGCATCAAGCTTTCCCTAGAAACTAATTCTTGTTCTCTAATCAAAACGTTTCAATTTTTTCAGGTATTTTTGCGGGGGCGGGGTAGGGAGGGAAAAGGGAGTTTTCAACCAAAGCAATTGGGCAGTTTCGGTCACCCAAATCTGCATTTTTTTGGTGAAAAAAGTTTCCCATGAAAAATTTCATCCAACTCTTCTCAGGAGTGTGCAACTCATCCTCATTATTAGATGACTAATGCAATGTCTTTTCAGTTTGGTTGCTTTATTCTTGACATCTTCAGTTTCTTTGCTTGGGTTTTGGCCCCTTCCTTAATTTTTTTTTATCTGTTGCTTTGTTCCCCATTTTTGGTACCAGCAGAGTATTAATTAATGGTGGTTGACTTGTCTTGTGGTTTCTAGGTTTGCCTTGGGGCTAGATGTGTACGATCATTGATATAAGAAATTTAAGCTGCTTCACTTTCCTCTGAGATTTTTTTTTAAATGCTCTACACTGGGTTTCTGTTCAGTGCTTGAATACCTTGCTGTCGGAATGCGTCTTGTAGATTGATAAAATACAAGGATCGCTTCCTCTCAAATAGGAGACTCCAAAATTTAGATTTATCTTTTTTAATTTAAAAAATAACCCTGTCATGAGAACTGCAGATGCCAGGTGTCTCTGAGAATTTGCCTTGTCATCAATCAACCCGTAGTCATTAATATTTTGTGGATGTGGCATCCCATGCCATGTACTGCACTGCACCATCCCCTACTAAGGAGTCACATCAGTAGCTGTAGTCTACTCCTATGCTCATTTTGGGCTGGTGCAGAGGCATGCTGCTCCTGCTATTAAAAGTGTGTGTGGTGGGGATTATGGGAGTGGGATTATGTTGGCCTCTAATCTGCTACCTGTGGAAGACTGGGCTTGAGATAGCTCTCTGTTTCATCCAGTCAGTGTTCGGGATTGTTGGAGGCCTCCACAGGACTGATCTGCGGCTGATGGGAAATGGATCCAGCAGAGAGAATCCTATTTCTTTGCAAAAATGGGGGTGGGGAAAAACCGGATTGTATTGGACCTCAAACAGTTCCTCTGGTGACTGTGGGGGGAAATCTAAATTACCCTGTGAGTATGGGATAACAACAAGAGATTCTTTGAGTACATCAGAAGCAGGAAGCCTGTGGTAAAAATCTAAGGGTCCACTGGATTGCAAAGAGTTAAAGAGAGCAATTAGGGACTTTGCTGAGAAAAAACATTACTGAGAAGCTAAATGATTTCTCTGCATCAGTTTTCACCACCCAGAATGATGGGGAGAGTCCTGCACTGGACCTGATCTGTCCTGGTAACAAAGATGAGGTATACTCAGAGATAGAGGTGACAGCTGAATTTGTGCAGGAGCAAATTGTTAATTGATTTAAAATATAGTAAGCTGCCAGGCCCAGATGGTAGACACCCAAGAGTTCTGAAGGAGTTGAAGTATGAAGCACCTGAGCTGCTAACAAAAAAATATAATCACTCAATAATAGCTACTGTTTCTGAGTATTGGAAGGTAGCAAATGTTTTTGCATATTTAAAAAAAGGTTCATGGGATGATCTGGGGAATTATAGACTTGTAAATTTTACATCTGTATTGGGCATACTGGTTGAATCAAACATTAAAAATAGCGTAACAACACATTTGATAGTTCATGATCGGATATGGTCTAACCAGCGTGGATTCAGCACAGGAAAATCATGTTTCAGTAATTTCTTAGAATTCTTTGAATGTGTCAGTAACATGGGTGCATAAAGGACAACCAGATAACATAATTTATTTAGACTTCCAAAAGCCTTTGAAAAGGTGTAAGAGGTGAAATATTTTCTTGTATTAAAAACTGGGTAGGAGTCAGAAAGCAAAGAGTAGGATTAAATAGTCAATTTTTATCATGACAAAACGGTTAACAGCAGGGTGCCTCAAGATTCGTACTAGGTCCCATGTAGCTTGGTATTTATTAATTAACTCGTGGGGGTGGGGCTGAGTACTGAGGTAGCAAAATTTGCAGATGATACAAATGTATTTGGGTTAATCAGGACCAGAGAAGACTATGAAGAATTTTAGAGACCTAAACAGGCTTGGTCAATGGACAGCATGATGGTAGATGAAATTGAATGCTGACAAATGCAAAATAAGGCACATTGGAAGGGTTAAAAATAAACTACTCTTGTAGTTAATTTAGAAATCTATAAGGTGTAACAACTCAGGAAAGGAACCTGGGTGTCAATGAAGCAAATTCAATTAAATCCTGTGTTCAATGTCAGCTGTGGTCAAAATCCCAAAATGATGTTAGGATGCATAATGAATGGGATAGAGAATAATACCAAAATTGATGCCTTTTATATAAACTAATGTGCAGCCTCCCCTGGAATCCTGCACACTGTACAGGTCCCCTCCTCTCAAAAAGGACATTTCAGAATTGCAGAAGGTTCAGAAAAGAGCAGCAAGAATAGTCATAAGCCTGGAAAAACTCTCCATGCAGAGAGATTGAAAGGATTGGGGTGGCCTACCTTAAAAAGGAGAAAAATAAGAGAGGGCACAATAAAGGTGTATAAAATAATGAGTCGTCTAGAGAAAATAGGTTGGGAGCTTCTGTTGTCCCTGACTCATAAGACATGAGCAAGGGACGTTCAAATAAATTAAAAGATGGGAAATTCAAAACCAATAAAAGGAAATACATTTTTACATGACTTGTAATTAAACTGTGGAACTCAATGCCACAGGAAGTCATTGACACCAGGAATTTAATAAGATTCAAAAGGGGATTAGATATTTATATGGCTATCAAGAATATTCAGAGTTGTTCTAATCATTGATAATAGAAATTTCGGCAGGGCTATGAAGCATTGTACTTCAAGCTTTAAACCCATCTCTAACTATTAGAGATCAGGATGAGACATATGTGGGGGGACAGATTATCCCAGATTATATGCTTGTTTGTGGGGTTCTTACACCTTCCTATGAATCATATGGTTCTATCCACTGTCGGAGACTGGATGGACTAGATCCTGAACTAGGTGGAACTTAGGCCTGATCCAGTCTGGCAATACATATGTTCCTATGATAGGCTCTGTCTTGGGGAATTAGAGCAGTGGTTGCCCTAAAAACAGGGGCCCTGATTCTCCACTGAATTGTACCTTGTGTAGCCATTTATACCTGTACAAAGTGAGGGCAAATTGCTACCAAACCAGACTGCACAGGTGTAAATGATGGATAAAAATTGGGACAAGAATGTTTGGCATCTGCTGGACCTTTAGATGTTGGGTTTTGAAGACTGTCACCCCTTGCACACCTGATTTTGAAGTGCTGTAAATGGGAAAGTGATAAGCTACCATCCTCTGGTTGGATAGCACTGACTGACTGCTCTCTCTGGCTGTACTGAGCCCAGTGAAGATGCATACGTGGATGTTTGCTGGTGAGAGAGCAGATGGGGGAAACAAAGTTGGCATTTACGTGGGACTAAAGCAGGGGTGGCCAAACTGAGCCTGAGAAGGAGCCAGAATTTACCAATGTACATTGCCAAAGAGCCACAGTAATAAGTCAGCAGCCCTCCATTAGCTCCCGCCCTCCAGCCCCCAGCACCTCCTGCCTGCCCCAATCAGCTGTTTTGCATGCGCAGGAGGCTCTGTGGGGGAGGGGGAGGAGCGAGGGCATGGCAGGCTTGGAGGAAGGGGCCTTAGGGAAAGGGGTGAAGTGGGGGCAGGGCCTGGGGGCAGAGCAGGGAGTTGAGCAGTGAGCACCCCCCGGCACACTGGAAAGTTAGCATCTGTAGCTCCAGCCCCGGAGTCAGCACCTATGCAAGGAGCCACATATTAACTTCTGAAGAGCCGCTCTGAAGCCACAGGTTGGCCACCCCTGAACTAAAGGAACTGCTTGTTCTGGGCCAGATTCAATAAGAATTCCATTCTGCGGATGCAAAGGATTGTGCTGCAGAGACCATGTGGAATTTTTATTGAGTCTGTCCCGTGTTCATTAACAGTGGGTGATTTCTCTAGGTTTTATATTGCAAAATCTGTATAGGCATGAATGATTCCATGGGTGTTTGTGACTGTGCCCATTGCAGCAATTGCCCAATCTCAGGCATCATATCATTCAAAGAGGAAAGATGATCTTGTGGGTAAATCACTGAACTAGGATTTGGGAGATCTGCACTCAATTCCCGCCTCTGCCACAGATTCCCTGTGTGACTGTGGGCAAGTCATTTAACTGGAGTGTGTCTGTTGCCCATCTGTAAAATGAGGAAGATATTTCCTTCCAACCATCCTGTGTGGATGTTGCCTGTTTAGATTTTAGGCTCTTTGAGGCAGGGACTGTCTTCTACTTTGTGTCTGTACCGCACCTCTCACGTTGAGACCTCGATCTTGGTGTGTCTAGGCGTTACACAGCGATAACATCAGTAATTCAAATTGCATAGTGTTATAACGGTTTTTAATTTAACAGCAAAATATGATTTTATTTTTTCAAAATATACAGCCTCTCTTTTGTAAATCTGGCCTAATCGAAAGAAAAACAAATTAAGATCATGCCTTCTAAAGGCAGAAGAGAGAAAACTAGAGACCTCTGCTTTATCATGGCAATTCAATTGAAGACTAAATATATGTCACATTACCGTTGACTAGTAAAACCCACTTCCCTTGTCTAAACATTGATAATATCTGATAGTATGATAGTATTTGACTTAACTGTGGTAGAGTGCAGGGGCTATTCCTTGGTCCATGGAGAACAAAGAGTCAACCTCAGTTCAGCTCCCACCCCCTTCCCCTTGCCCAGCCATTCAAGGAAAGGACTTGGGGATGAGGTGGCAGAGAAAGGAGTCTGTTTGAGAAGCAAAAATTCCTCTGTTGCAGAAGAGGGGAAAGAGGGAAGGGGCTGAGTCTGCTCTACTACCTCCTCACAGACTTTTCCCTGGTCATTGATAATAGCCTTCTTAAATGGCTGCCAACCAAGGCTAAGATCACTGGTATCTTGCACTGCAGCTCAGCTAGTTCACAGTGCATCACAGATCAGACCAAAGTCACAAATTTAAAGAGACAGGTGGGTGGAAATATAAAGCTCTATCATTTGACTCAGCTTTGGGTACATCAAACATCAAGCTCCATAGTAAATTTGCCTGATGAGAAATGTTTTAAATCAGGTTTTCCCCATGTATAACCCTAATTTGTCATTTGGATTCAGGAGGTGGAAATCAATGGCATTTGAGATTTCATGTATTTCAATCAGGAAGTGGCTGCATTTTAGTGGTGGGTCAAGTAATCCCTGGGTACAGTTTGCATATCAGTTTAAGGCCTATGACTTTGATCGGACAGTTCAGGCGTGTAAAGTTAAGCACACATGTAAGTGTTCAAAGTCAATGGGGCTCCATGCAGGCTGCAAAGTCTGCCCACACGGAGCTCAGAACAGGCCCCACTTCAGTAAAAAACTGAAGCATGAGCTTCAGTCTCTCATTATTCAGCAAAGAATTTAAACCTGTGTTTAACTTCAAGCATATGCCTAAGTCCTACAGACACCCACTGCATGCTGCCTGATGAGCCCAAGTGCTGTGCTGAATCAGGGCCTAAGCTTGTAAGCATTTCAGGCTCACCTAGGATGAGTGGTGCTACAAAAATGTAGCCACCACATCTTGCAGCAATGAATATTTGGTACTGGCTGTGCTGCAAAGTGCCATAGAAAGCTTTAAGAACACAGCTTTTCAATTATCAGAGGGGTAGCCGTGTTAGTCTGGATCTGTAAAAAGCAACAGAGAGTCCTGTGGCACCTTTAAGACTAACAGATGTATTGGAGCATAAGCTTTCGTGGGTGAATACCCACTTCGTCAGACGCATGACCACTTTTAAGTGTATGTTTTTCTCATTGCTTCCAGGATGACAATATTATGAGATCCTTACAGCTCTTTGAGAATGTGATGTAACAGCATCTGGAATGCAGCATAGGAACCAGAGACTTTGTACGTAATGAAAACCTTCTTTCTGGATGAAGGCTTTTTACAACTCAGCTATGTTGCGTGAACAAGGATTGTGTAAGGCATCTCCAACCGAGCTTCGTTTCCGAATGCAACAAACTCCCATCTCTCCTCCCCAAGAGACACTGACTGGAAGTTATTTCATTTTGGAAGCATGCTAATATTTTAATAAAACCTGATGAGTGAGACCTGCTGCTTGAAGTTTAATGATAATATACAACATTCTGTTTGCTAGTCACAAATTCTGCTGCTTTTAATCTAGCAAATCTGATTACATCTGGTAGCACCATGTCAATAGCTTGCTAAGCCATCTATTGTGAGTGGAAGCTCAGTCCATTCCATCATAGAACAACGTGTTGTATTATTGTCCTCTTTATTTTGCTTTGGCAGAAACCTAATGTACCAAGAAATCTATGTTTAGATTTTGAAAACTAACACCAGATTTATTTACTATGTTAAATGGAGGGTCCAGTTCATTTAAAAACCATATATCCCACTTTACTCAACATTCCTGATTTTTCTCTCACATACACTGGTGTTACTCCATTGAATTTCATGGAGTTGCTTCTAATATACACCAGCCAGAGGAGCATCAAGCCAATATACATTAGAGGAGCAGAATACACTTTTCCATATACAATTTCTACACTACAGAATGAATCCCATTGAGCAGGGCCGGTGGAAGGATGTTTCATACCCTAGGCGAAACTTCCACCTTGCGCCCCGAGCCCCCGCCCTGAGGCACCCCGCCCCCCACGGCAGCTCCCCCCCCTCCGCCCTGAGGTGCCCCTCCTGCGGCAGCTCCCCCCCCTCTGCCCTGAGGTGCCCCCCCTCCGGCACCCCCCCCCCCTCCGCCCTGACGCGCCCCCCCGCGGCAGCTCCCTACCCCCCACCCTGAGGCAGCTCACCCCTGCTCCGCCTCCTCCCCGAGCACGCCGTGGCTGCTTCACTTCTCCCGCCTCCCAGGCTTGCAGCGCCAATCACAGGGCCGGCTCCAGGCACCAGGCACCCAAGCTGGTGCTTGGGGCGGCACCTGGAGGGGGGCGGCGGCGCAGCACTCCGGCCCCCGGGGAGAGCGGGGCCACAGCAGGGCTCGCCGCCCTCCCCCCGGCGCTCTGGCCGCCCTCCCCCCGGCCGCCGGGGGGAGAGCGGCAAGCCCCTGCTGGGGCTTGCCGCCCTGCGCTCTGGCCGCCGGGGGGGAGAGCCGAGCCCCAGCCGGGGCTCGCTGCCCTGCCCCCGGCGCTCTGGCCGCCAG